AATACTTAAGGAATTGCTGGATGAACAATACTAGTGGTCTTCAGAAGAAGATATGGTTTTCACTTTGAGAGTGGATTGGCATTTGAACAGAAGCCTGAAGGATAAGTAAGTCTTTGGCAGACAAGAAAAAATGGAGGAATAGAAGTGTATGTCAAGCTGAGAGAAATGTAGAAGGTAGATGGGGAGTGATCCAGTTTAATAGAGTTTAAGAGAATAGCCTGGAAAGACAGGCTGGAATAGGTGGAAGAGGGTCTTGACTATTATGCCAGAAGAGTAAACTTCATTTGGTGGTTAATATAAACGTTTGACTGTTGTTGAGCAGGAATGCGCTGCAATCAGAACTTTAGGGAGATTCATCTAGTAGATTCACAGCTGTTATCGCCAACATCTAGAACACTACCTGGCATATAGTAGCTCATAAATATTTTGAATATTTACAGAACCACATTAAGAGTTGTCATTTATTGATATAGATGTGCAGAGAAAACCATTTGCATGTGATATATTTAGTTGACAAATATACACATAACTTCATCCTTGACCTTTCTTTCACTACACTCAGCATTTCTGTTACAATTATCATCCCCCACTGTGATGACTCCCATAGCACAGGAAACCCAAATCCAGCTTCCTGTTCTTTCCCCCCATTGTTCGAGTTTTTCCCTCCAAAGCTACACAAAAGAAAGTCATCTAACCCAGTCCTCATATGAAAGTTTGTTAGAATTTGTGTACGGTCATTATGTACACACAAAAAAGGTTTCTAGGTTAAATATATCCTGCCCCTTCAATTATATGACCATCCTAGTTACCATCCTAAGCCAAGTGTGTCAGTGCCCTTAAAAACATGATATCAATAATGATCAATGAGTCCAGAAATGTCTAAATTAGTCCATTTCTCTGGCTAAAAGACTCTGAAATTATCCTCAACTAGTCACTCTCTACATAATACTACCTTATCTGTGTATGATTCTTTACAATAAAAATATGTGTACCTCAAGCACATTTTCCATGTCTCTCAATTTTATCCCTTCCTGGTTCAGGACCTCATCACTCCAGACCTGCATCCTGTGTCTTGGTTTTCAGCTTTCTTGCCTGCCGCTACCATATCTGTCTTCCTTAGTCTGTGTTGTCATATGCAGGTCAGCAAACACTCATTGATCATCTGTGGTGTGCTGGCCTTGTGCTTATGCTTCAAGGGATCAATCGTTCATGAGTAGGACAAGGCCTGTCCCTTAAGCTAGGGGGGAACAGTGTTCATCTGACTATAACGACAGTAACAACATGCAGGAGGTTGCACTGCCACATGGATGTATCTCCAGGACTGAGGACGGAGAGGGGCATTCTAGCATAGGTTTATGGAGATGGCGTTTGACTAAACTTTTAGAAATTAAAACAGAGAAGAAGGTGAGAGTTTTCCAGGCCAAGCGTGCCAGATCTGAGTGTACACTAATTTAGGGGATCCCCCCAGCAGAGCTCAAGATGTGTAACACGAAGAGTGGTACTAAGTGACCTCGAAAGGAAGATTAGAGCAGTAAAGAAGGGCCTTGAGGGCCATCCCTGGGCGTCTGTTCTGATATAGGCACACTAAAAAAAGGATGGTCAGGCTCTCAAAATGCGTTTCCGTAAAACAACACTAGTAGCACTGCCTAGTAGACATTAGGGGCAACATTTGGACAGGCAGCTCAACCAGGAAAGTCATGGAGAGACAGCTGGCAAGCCGACCAGCAGCAACCCCTATACCTAGCATTGCGACTTTGGGCGCCTCATTAACTTGTGGGGTCCTCACCTAAAATATAGGGAAAATGCCCAGATTTCCCCTGGCAGGGCTGTGGTGAGGATTGAGAGATAATAGTTATCAGTCTGGCCTCACTTATAAGGAGGCGCTAACCTAACTTCGGGGATGGCTGCCGCGGCCCTGTCCGCGCCAGGCACTGGCTACCGCGCCGGCAGCACCCTAGGGTACCCCTGTCCGGGTCCGTCACTCCCGCCGGAAGAGCGCAGCTGACCGCCCGGCTCCCAGGACTCCGTAAGGCGGGGCTGAGGCGCGCGCAGGCTCAGCGCCCTTTCCTCTGATTGGGAGGGACGAGGCGCAGGGGCGGGCCGACAGGCAAAGGGGGAGGCAGGGATTGGTCAAGTCCAGAGGGAGGGCGGGACCTTGGCCCGCGCGGGGGCGGGACTGGAGTCCCTAGGCTTTCTCTCCTAGTCCCGCCTCCTTCCAGGCCTCAGCTGGGGCCGGAGGGGCTCTGTGGCTGCTGTGCAGCTTGCTGGCCTCTCAGTCCTCCCGGCAACCGCTGACACTGCTAGGGCGAGACGGACCACTAGCCGGCGTGGGCGAGAGGGACTGGAGTTTGCGCTCCCTGACGCCCGGTCGCCTTCTCGCTCCCCTCACTCGGAGGCCGCGCGCGCGCAGTCATCCCCTTCGTCGTTCCCTCGCCCAGTCGCGCAGTCCGGAAGGCTGGGGTCGGCCGCCGGCCGAGGGGAACCACGCGGTGTCAGAGGAGCCAGTCGGCGACCGGTGAGGGGACAGAAGGGCAGGGAGGGCGCGGGTGGCGCGGGCCAGCGGTCCTCAGCTGCGGCTCGTGTTCGCCCATCCGCCCCGGGCGACTCGTGTCTGTGGCGGTCGGGAGCGCCTCCCGGGCTAGGAGTGAGGCGGAGACACTGGAGCGACAGACTGGCCGGACAGGTCCGCGGGCAGCCGCGCGGCCTGCTCCTCCCAAGCCTTCCCCGCCGCCTGTCCTCGCTGGGCCCCCCGGGTGACCTTCGGGTTGGCGTCACCACCACCGGCATCGTCAGGCTGAGCCGGCTGAAGGGGGCACCCACCGCCACCGGGTGCTGGCAGCGGTCAACGCTCCCCTCTCCCCGCTCCGTTGTTGGTGTCCGGTCTCGCCCTCCAGGTCGGCTGCGCCACGGGCACGGGCCAGGGTAGGCCCGGGGGTGGGAAGGCGCTAGCCTAAGGAAAGTTTGCCCAGCAACTCGTGACGCGCACTGACTGAGGCGGCCCGGGGTTGGCTGCGCTGCTGTGGGTCACGGAGAGCGACCTGTTAAGGTGCCATGTTCCTCATTCGGCGGACAGCTGTGCTCGGCTCTTAAGTACCAGGCACCGAACCCCAAAATGAATAACTAGCTTCCCTTGTTTAATCTTGGGGGCCACAGGTCGCGCAAGTGGAGCTATGAGAGGCCCATGCGGTGCTGCTCTAATCGTGTGAGGGATTCTTAGGGGTCGAGTGGGGAGGGCTGAAAAGGGCTGCAGACCGTTTAGCATGCCTGGAGTAGACACGGGAGTTAAGCCCCTTCTTACTCAGAGTTCCTCTTAAGAACTGTCCAGGGCTGGGCACAGTGGCTCACACCTGTAATCCTAGGGGAGGCTCTCGAGCTCGGGAGTTCAAGACCAGGCTGGGCAACATGATGAGAACACTCATCTTTACAAAATAATAATAATTAGCCTGGTGTGGTAGCACGAGCCCATAGTCCCAGCTCCTCAGGAGGCTGAGGGTCGCTTGAGTCCAGGAGGTCGAGGCTGCAGTGAGCCAGTGATCAAATCACTGCACTCCAGCCTGGGTGACAGCAAGACTCTGTCTCAAAAAACAAACAACAAAAAAAGACTGTTCTAGGGACAGTAAATCCTAAGTACTGGACAACCGCAGTTCTCAGTCTTAGCAATTTTTTTTTTTGAGATGGATTCTCACTATGTGGCCCAGGCTGGAGTGCAGTGGTGTGATCTTGGCTCACTGCAACCTCCACCTTCTGGGTTCAAGTGATCCTCCCACCTCAGCCTCCCCAGTAGCTGAGACTACAGATGGGCGCCACTACACCTGGCTGATTTTTGTATTTTTAGTAGAGACGGGGTTTCAGTACGTTGGCCAGGCTAGTCTCGAACTCCTGACCTCAAGTGATCCACCTGCCTCAGCCTCTCAAAGTGCTGGGATTATAGGTGCGAGCCACCATGCCCAGCAAGACTTAGCTTTTTTTTTTTTTTTTGGTGGGGGGGGGGGATGGAGTTTCACTCTGCCATCCAGGCTGGAGTGCAGTGGCACAATCTCAGCTCACTGCAACTTCTACCTCCTGGGTTCCAGCAATTCTCCTGTCTCAACCTCCCAAGTAGCCAGGACTACAGGCACACACCATCACGCCCAGCTAATTTTGTGTTTTTAGTAAAGATGGGGTTTCACCGTGTTGGCCAGGCTGATCTCCAGCTCCTGACCTCAGGTGATCTGCCCGCCTTGGCCTCCCAAAGTGCTGGGATTACAGACATGAGCCACCACACTTTCTTTACTAAAGTTTTCCCAGGCAGGAGGATCAGACACTCCAAGTCTACTGTCCAAGATCAGACAGCTAGTAGTGGGAAAAACCAGAATTTGGACTTCTGCCTCTCTTGTTCTACTACACAGGTTGCAGGCTCAACTCGGTAAATCAAAGCAGAGTATTTGCAGTATATGCAGCAGGTAGTGCTATGGCAGATACGATGACTGTAGTCAGGCTCTTTCATCCAGGAACCTAACATTTGGGAAAACTGGATTCCAGACTAATAAGTCAACTTATAAAAAGCGCTGAGTGCCTTCTGTGTGCCCAGGTCCTTGCTAGGCCCAGGAAAGGTGCAAAATACCTTATAATCCCTTCTCCCTGATCTGGGATGCTCTGGCCACTCTAGGCTTCAGTGTTGCCTATGTCTCAAAGGGACAGGACAAACTCTCACTATGTGTCTTCTTTCCCTGTCTACACCCATACCTTCTCTGCGGCTCCCAGATTTCACAGGAAAATCTTTGTGAAATCAAAACTTTCAAAAGAATGTATTTGGGCCGGGCCTGGTGGCTTGCACCTGTAATCCCAGCACTTTGGGAGGCTGAAGCAGGAGGATCACTTGAGGCCCAGAGTTCGAGACCAGCCTGGGTAATATGGCAAAACCCTGCCTCTACTAAAAATATAAAAATTAGCTGTGGTAGCCCAAGCTTGTAATTCCAGCTACTCAGGAGGCTGAGGCACGAGAATCGCTTGAAACTCTGAGGTAGAGGTTGCGGTAAGCTGAGATCGCACTGAGATGGTGCCACTGAACTTTTTCCTGGGCGACAGAGTGAGACTCCATCTCCAAAATAAAAAGAACGTATTGGCTCACCGTCAGACTTGAACACTTGCATGAGAGCGAACTGTCATTCCTATTTCCACCAGCTCCTTAGACATAGACTGAATCTGAAGCTGGAAGGAGCAACATCTTTTGAAGTACTGGATTTTCTTTCTTTATGGGGAGAAGGAAGCAAGGAGTGGCAATTCTGGTGCTCTGAATTCCATACCCTATCAGCACCTCCTAGAACAGGGCTTAAATCTTTCCAGAGTGGATAGTAATCCCTGTTTCCTGTTAAATTCACTGATTAATATATTCTCCTTCCAGCTTCAGAATCAGTCTGACATGTCTAAGGTGCTGGTGGAAACAGGAATAACAGTTCACTCCTACCCCACGTGCTCAAGTCTGATCATGGTCCACATACATTCTTTTGAAAGTTTTGGTTTCACAAAGATTTTCTTGTGAAATCTGGGAAGCCTAGAGAAGGTATGGATGTAGACAGTGAGAGAACATATAGTGAGAGTTTATCCTGTTCCTTTGAGACACAAGCAATGCTGAAGGCCAAAGTGGCCAGAGCATCCCAGATAAAGAAGAATAAAGCTGAGCAATGAGTGTGAGGCAGGTATGGAGGCAGGAGGAGCCTCTCTGGGAAAGGGTTAAGTAGAGAGTCCTGAATGAGAGAGTGAGAGAGCTTTGCTGGTAGAAGGAACTGTAAGTGGCAAGGCCCCAGAGCTGCCTTCTGAAGGCCAGGGAAAATTCTCCATACCCTTTCTAGAGTGGGGAATGGGTAATTTGCTTCTATCTCATCTGGATTTCAGGGCATTCTAGGGGTATCACAGAATCCTAGAGATAGCAGCATCACTCAGATCCTGAGGGGTAAGAATACAAGGAGAAGCCAGCAGAAGAATCATCTCTCCTGATGCAGCTAAAACTCCCACACTCCCACTGCCAGTTCCTGCCCCTCATGTCATGGGGACCGTTCCATTTCTGGACCAGAGCTTCAAGGTTAACACAGCGCACACAGCAATCCCAGGGCCCAAAGTGGTGGTTCTTGGGGTTGGCATTTTACCCTCTTGTTCCCGGGCTGCCTTGTGCTTCTCTGTGAACTTCACAGCCAGGTCTGTCCCTGGTGTTGAGTGAGCTGCTACAAGCCTCCTGCGGCCTCTAGGAAGGGGCGGGGGCTGACCCAGGCAGAGTGAGAGATAGGCTACCTGGCCTGCTGCCTTACTCCTGTCCCCAGACCCAGCTGTGCACTTGTGCTGGATGACTGGACAAGCCTGCATAGGAAGCCCACGTCACATGCGGGTTACTGGTAACAGCCACCCAAAGGACTACTGGGAGGACGAAAGGGAAACATGTATAAACAGGTGATTGTGTGTTACCAGTAACAACTGGTATGCTTTCACCTTCTGAGAGTCGCAGTGAGAGAAGGTTTTTCATAAGTCATAACACCAATTCCCTACCAGGTCTAGATGTCCAGTTTCCAAAACAGCAGGTGGACTTTTCTGTAGAGGGTGGCTAGGAACTAGGGTCTTGGAAAATGAGAGGAACTCTATGCTTACTGAAGCTCTGAAGGTCAGGCAGGGTGGCTGAACTTTTCCCAACTAAAGCCCTCCAAGGACTGAGGTGGGCCAGCCTCCATTTGTATGTTCAAGGATTTGGAAAGGCCATTTGGACAAGCACTATCCAACAGAAATAAAATATAAGCCACTTTTGTAATCTTAAATTTTCCTTAAAAATGGGCAAAATGTATTCTGATATATTTCATTTAACCCAATATATTAAAAAAATATCATTTCAACATATAATCAATACTAAACATTAATGAGGTATTTTGCATTCTTTTTTAATAGTAACTCTTGGAAATGAGGAGAGTATTTGGCTCTTACCACTCATCTCAGTTTGAACCAGTCATGTTTCAAGTGCTCAGTCACCACATGTGGCTCTGGGCTGCTGTAGTAGACAGCACAGCATTGGAGAGTTCCCCTCAGCCCTAATCCTTGCTGCCCAGACCAGGTTTACCAACTCTGACTTCAAGGTGACCACTTGTTTCTTGTGAATCATGACTTTTTGAGGTCTTTTGTCCCACCCCAGAAATACTGGCATGGCAGAACAGATAACCAGGGAAGAAAAATCTTTATTCTGATTGAAGGATGCAACTCAAGAAAAATCTGTCACAGTAGATTGTTAATAAATGTTCTAAATCCTGGTTAAATCTAACACTCTGGATTTGCAATTTGTGATTAATTTAGATATGGTATGAAATACTTGCAATATCTATTAAGAAACACATGACATATAAAACTCAGAAGTTCATCTTGACCATGTTGTAAATATTAGTTTTTCTATTAGCTTATCTTCCTTATTAATACTTGGGTTTTTTTTTTTTAGTTATATATATAGTATTTGTATTAAATGCTTGAAAGGTACTTACATATGTATTCAACAATGAGAATTTTCACCAATTCACATGTAATTTTCCCCTTCCCTCTTTCCAAAAACTCACGTTCAATCAGAAGAGTAGGAATTAGGATGGTCTAGGAGTCATTCTTTTTTTGGCACAGTAATATTTTTTCTTTCAGGTTTCTACTCCAAACACAGACCCCTTTGCCTGTAGGATGAGCTCCAGCATGGGGTGAGATACAGAAGAGAGACTTGAAGAGCCTGCCTTGGCACTCAAGCTCCAAATCCTGCATACTAGCGAGTGTCTTATTCTGCATCCATAATGGAAGGAAATGGTATTATTATTTATATGCCATTTATGTGTGCATGTTGGCATTTGTGCATTTGTCTTCCTTGGGCATGTGCCCTGGGAGGCAGTGGCCTGGGCAAGGGCGGGCTCCCAGAAACATGCTTTGAGAGGTACCATGGTCTCCAGATACCGAAGGAGGAGGCAGAGCACTCAGTGGGGCATGAGCATTACTTTCCTTGGCATTTGGGATCAGCCACTGAGTCTCCAGGGAAGTTTTTATTTTCAGAAGGGCAAACATTCCTCTGAACTGACGTCTAACTAGAATTAGCAGCTCATGTGTCTGGGTTGAAAGTCCCTCTGGAGGAACCAAGGGACTCTCTCTGAAGTCTACTTCAGCCTGGGTGTGATAGCTCACGCCTGTAATCCCAGTGCTTTGGGAGGCCAAAGCGGGGAGATCACTTTAGTTCAGAAGTTCAAAACCATCCTGGCCAATATGGCAGAACGCCAGCTCTACCAAAAATACAAAAATTAGCCAGGCACAGTGTTACTTGCCTATAATCGCAGCTACTTGAATCCAGGAGGTGGAAGTTGCAGTGAGCTGAGATCCAGCAACTGCACTCCAGCCTGAGTGACAGAGAGAGGCTGTCAAAAAAAAAAAAATCTATTCTAGAGTTCCTGCTTGCATTTTTTGATTAAAAATCATACTAATCATGCTGTTTGTATAAGATGTCTGGGATTTAAAATGTTCTAGAACCTTCCCTACCCCCCAAAAAAAAAGCAGAGTGGTGGCGTGAATGAAACAAGAATGATAAAATGGTGAGTGATTTGTGATACTGTTCTCCCTAGTTTTTTATATTTTAAAATGTCCATTAAATACATACGCTTCTCCAGAAAATATTTCCCTCCCTTTTTCCCCCTCTCAGTTGTAATTCACATTTTCTCTTTTACTTCACCTCTGCAGGGCACAGCACATCTTACTCCAGAGGCACAAGAGGAGGACATCCCATGCTGGCTACTCCTGCCCAGCCTGGTGGGGGAGCAGAAGCTCCAGAGCCTGGCCTTGCAGGTTTGCTATTTTTAAGGCTTTTTTCACTTTACCCCATTTGCATACAAAACATAAGGACCCTGTCTGTGAGGGTATTTTTAACCAAAGTTTTGAGTATCTATGATGAACTTTCATCTGCTAAGAGGAAAGTGACAGCAGACCATTTTGTGTACCTCCTCTCCCTGATCTATTGAGCGACAAGGGGCTATCCTGTACTAACTGCTGTCCAGTTGCTGGAGATTGACCTGTGGGCCTTGTGAGCAGTGGTCAGTGGTAAGGCTAGCCAGGTGAGGAGAGCAGCCACGTTTGTGCTCTTGACTAGACGGCATGTGCAGTTCTGTGCACGTACTACAAAGGCTGACCCTGTTCCCAGACAGCTGCCTGGACCAGCTTGTCAGAATAATTCAGGGATATCATATGAGACAAACAGGATAATAGAGCAGATTTGGTCTCCATAAAGGAGTTTTTCTGTACTCCCGATTCTTAGATCCCTGAAGCTGGGACAGTGAAGAAATACAGCAGAATGTTTATAAACAATATGGCTTTCTTCATCAAATTCATCATACTCAAACCTTCACAAACAACTTGGATATCCTGACAATTACTATAGAAAGGATGCCCCTTCCTTCTCCCCAGCCTTTCCTGAAAATGTGAAAAGTATTTCTTGGATAATGCCACCAACTTTTAATAATTTTTTTGTGAATTACCTGTGCTCCCTTTTTACCCCTTGTCTGGGTCCTGAGTTGCTTTCTCAATTTTGGGGCTGTATACTGGCATGGGATAGTGTGTTTATCAAGTGCTGTCCAAATCCATGGAACAGTATTTTGGGGTTTCTCAAATGCCTTCCCTTGGCCAGGCCCTAGCCTCTTCAGTAGCTTTGGGGTCCGAGCCCTTTACCTGGCTCTTGCTGCTGGACCTGTTTGTGCTTCATCACATTACCTGCTTTGTCCCTCCCACCCAAGCCTGGCTGGGTTCATGTCAGTGACCCAGGAAACCTGGGTCTTGGAGGAAGGCATTGGTATAGCCTAAACCCAGGGAACCTCTCACTGCCCATTCCGCCTTGGTCCTTTCCTAATGTATCTCCAGACAAGGATCCCCATCTAAGGCCAGAAAACAGGCTTGGCTTTCCCTTCCCTCAGAGCAGTGTTGATGGCTCCCATGCTGAAATCAAGCTCCCCTTTGCATCTATTCCTATTTGTTCTCCAGGACACTTGTAGTTTGTCCCTCCTGCCCTCGCAGGTGGTTCAAGGACGACGCTCGCGGCTTTGCTTTGTCTTGGAGAAGGGAATCCTGGAGGTGGATTACCTGAGGAAGTTATAAGAAATAGGGAGTTCATGTTCCCCTCTCCATTCCTCAGGAGCTGCTGCGGAAGCTCACAATGACCTTCTCCCCACAGGCCCACGGTGCAGGGTGAACCTGGCCACATCCCACCTCTGGACAGCTGCAGTGTCTGCCCCTTAGAGAAGACCCCTGGAATTGGACCAGTTTTCATGGCCTCCTTCTTTCCTCTCTGTTACATTGCCCTTTCCAGGCCTTAAGAAAAGTAACACTTAGCCACAGCATCAGGAGGTGGATCCCAGAGTGTGAGTGGCACATTCTGTGAACTCATCCTCACCATGTTCACCATATCTGCAACGGTGGCAGCGGGGAAGCCTTACATGTGCGGTGAGTGTGGCAAGAGCTTCTGCTACAGCTCAGTGCTGCTGCGACATGAACGATCTCACGGCGGCGACAGCCGCTTCCGTTGCCTAGAATGCGGCGAGCCCTGCGCAGGGGCTGCTGACTTCCAAGCGCACAGGCGCAGCCATGCTGGCCAGACCCTCTACATCTGCAGTGAGTGCGGCCAAAGCTTCCGCCACAGCAGCCGCCTTGACCTACACTTGGGCGCACACCGGCAGCGTGGCCGCTCATGCCTCTGCCATACATGTGGCCGCCGCTTCCCGCATCTCCCGGCGCTGCTGCTGCACCGCCGCCGGCATCATCTGCCAGAGCCACCCCGCCGCTGCCCCCTGTGTTCCCGCGCCTTCCGACAGAGTGCGCTGCGCTTCCACCAGGCGCGGGCGCACCGTCCGGGGACAAACTCTGACCCTGCTGGCCCACGCCACCGTTGCACGCAGTGCCCGCGAGGCTTCCGAAGCGGCGCTGCGCTGCGGAGTCACGCGCGCATCCACGTGTCCCAGAGCCCCAGGCGACCACGTGCCTCAGACGCCCACCAGTGTGGCGTGTGCGGCAAGAGCTTTGGCAAGAACTCTACGCTGACGCGACACCTGCAGACGCACTCGGGGGAGAAACCGTTCAAGTGCCCGGAGTGCGGCAAGGGCTTCCTGGAGAGCGCCACGCTGGTGCGCCACCAGCGCACACACACTGGCGAGAAGCCATACGCATGTGGCGACTGCGGACGCTGCTTCAGCGAGAGTTCCACGCTGCTGCGCCATCGGCGCAGCCACAAGGGCGAGCGGCCACATGCGTGCGCCACTTGCGGCAAGGGCTTCGGGCAGCGCTCCGACCTGGTGGTGCACCAGCGCATCCACACGGGTGAGAAGCCCTTCCCGTGCCCAGAGTGCAGCCGCCGCTTCAGCGACCGCTCGGACCTCACCAAGCACCGGCGCACGCACACAGGCGAGAAGCCCTACCGCTGCGAACAGTGCGGCAAACGGTTCACGTGCGTGTCCAATCTCAACGTTCATCGGCGCAACCATGCCGGCCACAAGCCACACAAATGTCCTGAGTGCGGCAGGGCCTTCAGCGTCGCCTCTAAGCTTGCGCTCCACCGCAAGACGCACCTGGGAGAACGGCCAGCGGAGTGCGCGGAGTGTGGCAAGTGCTTCAGCCACAGCCGCTCGCTGTCACAGCATCAGCGGGCCCACACGCGCGCGCGCGCTGCTGCCACAGCTGCCGCTGTTGCCGCTGTTGCCATCCAGGCCGCAGTAGGCGCTGCCCTCGCCTTAGAGGGGGCGGCTGAACAGGAAAGGTCAGGGTTCTTTGTGTCCTAGTTGAAGGAGGCTTGCTGAGGCTTCTGTAAAGGTGGTTAGACAAGCACCTAGATGGCATCACAGGGACCGGTGAGGCAACTTGCAGACGGACGTTTGGGAAAAGCATGTGGCCTCCTGCCTTTCCAGTTTCCGTTGGCAGCCATTCACTTGGCCTCCTGCCTCGCCTCTACACCTACTTCCCTGTCAACTTTTGCCATCCTGTCCTGGTATAACTTGGCATCTCTCCTAAGGTGTAGGTGCAGAGAGGGAAACCTTAGACTCCCCGGTGTGCAAGAGCCCAGTATTGGTGTGTCCCATTAATGCTACTGTGCTTGCTGGTGTTTCTGATTTTCCTGCCTTTGTCCTATTTTCTCGTCCCATCTCCTTATTCCAGCCTGCATCTCTTCTGCTTCTCCTTTCCTGATTACTTTTGTTGCCCTGCCTCTTCAGGTAATGGTCACAAATTTGGCTGTAGTTACATATCACTAGCCCTATGGTCCTCTTGTCTCCATCTGGGCGCTGCCTGCTCCCTGGTGGCCACCACATGAAGGTGGACGGGGTCCTCAGCATGGCCACGTGTCCTCAGGGCAAATCAACGCGCCTTTCAGGACAATGTTCCCTAGCCAGGTGGACATTTTTGCTGAGACCCAGGCCAAAACCATGAGGGTCCACAAAGCCAGGAATGCCAAGTGGAGCATGAGTTTGTTTCCACATCATGGGAACCATGGGGAAATAGGTTCCACCACAGGGAGGGGGCAGGATGGAAAATCCCTTCAACAGGTCAACAATTTTTGCTAATGGCTAGTGAAATAAAGTTGTTTGTTTGGGTTCTAGATGCCAAGCGTCCCCTTTGTCAAACCTAAGGCTGCTGACCAGAGTTTGGAAGTGATCCAAGAGCAGGTCCATTCAGTTCCAAGGTCTCTTGAACCTTCCCAAGGCAGCTCAGTGATCTTACATGGAGGACCACTTGATTCCACACTAAAAGGTGAGACAAGGCCTACACATTGGGTTTTCTCTGCTGATGGAAGTACAAGATAGCCTAGGATCATATGCCTCTATTTCTGCTCCAGCTAGTCCACCAGGAGTGACCCAGCACTCTCCAGACTATCTCTGCCTGCTCTATTTGAGTGTAAGAGTGAATGTTTTACTCCACAGGAAAGGGCTGCAAAGTGTCAAAGTGAGTCTGGAAACGCCCAGAGGTGAGGGCCTGCAGAGACAGAAACAGGGCCTCCACCTAAGCTGCATTCTGGTCCATGCTTTCAAAGGGATCCAGGGTTTCTGAACCTCAGGTGCCAAAACACTCACTCTGCCCATACATGCCCACATAAAATACTCTGTTTATTTGTCCTTTAGGAACACTAAAGTAGTCCGGCTTTCCTACAGTCCAGTCTTGCCCCCACCCTGCACTCTGCACTCTGTCGCCTTAGTTCCTGGGGACCAAGTATCTGGTGTTTCTCAGTAGACTCTCTTCATTGCTCCTTTTCAGTCTCTGGAGTCTGGCTCCCTAAAGCCAAAGCTAGAGAGCTCATTGCTGAGGGGGCAGGGTTGGAGCCTGAGGAGATGCAAAGGACTTGGACCCCTCACTGGATCCCAGACGCCCAGGGGCAGAGATGCTGGAACAGGGCTCTAGGGGGCCACTGGGTGACTCTTGAGGGGCTAACAGCAGGGCGGGGTGACTTTTGCTACAGTGGGCTGCAACACTGTCTGGCTTCTCAAAGCGCTTGCCACAGAATTCACAGGGGAAGCGCAAGGCAGCCACCGTCTCTGCGTGCTTGCGCTGGTGCCAGTTCAGGGAGGCCTTCTGGCGGCAGGTGAATCCGCATATCTCACACCTGAAGCCAGGGACAGAGGAGGGAAGGTACAGGGCTCAGGCCATCCTGACTTCCCTAGGGGGTTCCTGCTGCTCCCCACAGCCTAGGTGTCCTGTATGCGTAGCTTCCCCACTCCACCTCCTCCCTTCTGTCCCCTGGCCCACAGACCCCCACCCCAGCACTCACTGCAGGGGTTTTTCTCCAGTGTGGATACGTCTGTGGATGACAAGGTTGCTGCTAGTGCGGAAAGACCGGGCGCAGAACTCACAGATGTAGTCCCGGGTGTCTGCAGGCACATGAGGGGCACTCCAGCATCTGTGCCCACCCTGTGGCCCCTCCTTGGCCCACCTCCCCAACTGTCCATCATAGGAGTGCACCAGTATTAGAGGTCAGGAGGCTCAAGTTCTAATCAGTTGTATCCAAATCATGGAGCCTGTCTGGACCTCTTACTTGATTGGTCATGACAACCAAGTAAGATACGAACCCAGCTAAAAGACTTCATTATTGTTCACCCTACCCCCTGCCCGCCAATCCCACTCAAACCAATGAACTCCCAGTGGAGGTGCACTATCCCGCCTCTGAGCCTCTAGCCTGGTTCTTTCTCAAAGGAGACACATGGAATGGAGAGCTGGGTCCTTAGTATGAATTGAAGGCACTAGGCAGCAGCCCCAAGCAGAAGCTTGGAGTCAGTGATGGGAATTATGATTGAAGCTCAAGGCCCCATGACAGTCCCTGGCATCTGGAGTCATCTACCACCCGTTCAGGCTTGCATATCCCAGCGGTAGCAGACCATATCAGGGCCCTGTGGAACTACCTGTCTGCAGGCAGCCAATTCCCTCCCCTCTTTTTCCCTGAACCTGCCCTCCCTGCTTGTTCCAATAGCACCTGCCTGTTGCCCATGGTCACTGTGTTGCCAGCAGCTCTCACAGGCTGCTGTGATTTTTCTAACCCACCAAACCTCACGGCCTGCAGTAGAGAAGGTGTCTTTGCTTTTCATGATGCCCTTTAGACCACCTCTACCATCACCACCTCTCTGAAGACCCCTTCATCAGACCATACACACATATACCTCCAGCCTCCTCCTTGGTTCCCATCACACCCCCCCCATCCACACAACTCTGGGTTCAGCCCCTCCACTCCTGTCAGCCGCCACTACTGCCCACTGTTCCCTGACCTCACTGACCTCATCGCTAACCCTCCTCAGCCGCCAGTCTCAGGTCACACCCACACACTGCACCACTTCAAACACTGCAATTTCTTCTAAGATACAGTAGGTTAGGGGAAGAAAAAAGGAAATTGTGATTTCAAGCATCCTGGTTCCTGCCAGGGCCTCCTTTCTCATCCTCTTGCTATGATAATCCCATGATGAGACCAGTCTACTGGCCCTACCATCTTCCCTCTGAGCCCATCCCCACTCAGCTGCATTTCCACAGCCATCTTTGTTGCCTTCTTTCATTCACACTACCAATCTTCCTGTCCCTTTCTCCATCCACTGTACTTGCTTGGTTAAAGCCCAACTCAGGATAAACATAACTTTTGTTCTGCTCCAGGGTTGCATGGGTGTACAGAAGGGGGCAAAGTCTTCCTCTCCGCCACCCTTTTCATCTATAACCACAAGTCTTAAGGCCCCCTTCCTGCCCTACTGCGTCTGCATTTCCCTTATCAGTTCACTTTTCCAACTTTCTAGAAATACAAGACATTTCACACCACCTCCTTTCCCCACCAGCCTGCAACACCCCCAGCCTACCTTATTCAGAAGTGCTCTTGTTTTTAAAGTTGCTAAGAAACTAGAACACCCACATCTTCTGCCCACCAAATCCACTATTCAACTTGCAGCTTTGCCTATATAAATGACTACTCAAACTGCCTACCCTGTGGCAGCTCCCCACTCTGCCCTGAAAGACCAGCTCCTCACTTGAGGTCTCCCACCCCACTCCAGCCTCAGCAGCAAGCCTTTCTCTATGGAATCATTTCCATCTCTGCACCCTGAACCCACAGCCTTCTAGCGAACACTCCATTTATCTGCCCATCTTACAGCAAAACTCTACAGAGTTGTCCACACTTGTGTCTTCACTCCACCTTGAGCGTACTCCATTGTGACTATCAGACTGACAGCTACACCACCCCTCCTGTCAGTTCCATCTTGTCATCTGATGGCTTCCCCACTGCCAGATCTGGTGGCGTGTTCTCAACTTACTTTATTTGGCCTGTTGCAGTGGCAATCATTGCCCCTTCCTCCCTGGAGCATTTTCTATACTCAGCTCTGCAAACAGCACTCTCTTCATCTTCCTGACCATGTACCTGGCCTGCCCTCTACTGAATGGCTAGAGTGCCATGACACACACTCCCTCTATGTAAGGACAGTCTGGCCCCATGGCTCTAAATACCACCCATATGCTCATGACACACACATTTATATTTATATGCCTGACATCTCCCCTAATCTCCACATTCACATCTCCTGGATGTTTAATTAGCATGTCTCAAATCAAATTTCCCTTCCCAAGCCCGTTTATCCCTTGTTTTCAGGAAATCACATCACCTTCTCCACGGCTGCTCAGGCTAGAATCCTCTGAGTTACCCAGCTCCTCCCTGCCCACTCAACTGTAGCCAGCCTATTCCTTCCCACAGCACCCCATTTGGCTCCATCTGTGCACACACTGGCCTCCAGCCATTCCTCGCCGACTCAACTGCTACCAGCAAATCCAGGTACCACCTTGCCTTGCATGTTTCTGCAGTCATCTCACAGCTGAGTGCCTGGTGCTGCTCATCTGAGGTCCCCCTCTTCTTCACACAGCTGCCACAATGATCTTTTAAAAAGTCAGCCATGTCTCTCTGCCATTCAAGACTCTGCAATGGCACCCATCTCGCCTAAAGCAGATGTCAGACTCCTGTGGATGGTCTCAGAGGCTTCCACCAACTATGTGATCTCTCTCCTTTCTCAGCTCCTGGCCTCTTCCCTATTCCTGGAGCATGTCATCCAGGTACCACCTAAAGGCCTTCCCACAGGCGCTGCCCATAGTCCGTAAGGTACAGGTCTCCATTCCTCACTTCACTTAGGTCTTTGCTGAAAGCATCTTCTCTTTCTCCAACAGTAGCTCCTCCTTATGCTTTCCTTTCCCTTGCTTCCACATTTCTTCACAGCCCTGTATCACTAAAGTGGATGTCTCAAGAGGGTTAGCACTGCTTGCGCTGTTCATTGCTGTACGCTGTACCCAGTACCCAGAACAGTCTAAAGCAAGCAGGTGCTTAACACACAGGGCATGCAGGGTAAGTCAGAGTTGTCCCTCAGAGGAAACTGTAGAAACCCACAGAGAGGGAGGTGACAGGACCCCACCGAGGGGGAGGTGATGAAATCTATAGAGCAGGGGTGATAGGACCCACAGAGGAAGGTAAAAGGTCCCACACAGAAAGGTGGAGTTCCACCACTCACCACTGTGCAGCTTCATGTGCTCCTTCAGGTGTTTCTTAAAGTTGAAGGACTTCCCACAGGCTGGCTCTGGGCAGGAGAAAGACTTCTGGTGGATGTGTTGGTACTTTTTGTGGTGCTAGAGAAGGAAGTGGGTGGTGGGGAGAGAAGAGGCAAAAGAATAGCCTTCCACAGGTAGATCAACTGAGCTGACCCAGCAGGCATGTTCCTCTGTCCCCTCCCTGGCCCCAGCAGCTCTCCCTGTCATGGCCTGCTCATCTCCTCGAGGCTCAGTCCTCACCTAGACCATGAGAACCATACCCATCCCATCCTGACCACTCAGCTCTCCTGTCACCCTGTTCTGTGCTTGACTTCTATTATCTCACCTCCTTGTCACAGTCTCACCCTGCAATGTCCTACAGTGTTCCTTGTACAAAGTATCACTCTGGGTGACACCCCTGGTTCACCTAATCATGAATGCACTATTTGCTGGGGAGGCGAAAGTAGTTCACATAAGTATGATTATCCTTTTTGACATCAGTATTCATATTCAACAGTATATCTCTCCCCCCCACACACACGCTATCAACCTAGAACACTGTTAAGGGTAATA